GATTACAAATTAGCATTTTCTTCACACTTCATGGATCATGTTTAATTAAATGTCAATTAATTTTTCTGTTCTTTAAATGAACTGTCCTTCAAAAAAGCCTAACTGTGCTTTATATATATATATATATATATATATATATATATATATATATATATATATATATTATATCAACGCTCTACCGATTTATCTGTCACCGATAAACACTATCCACCAGGTTTTGTATCTTTCAATCGCACGAGGAAGGATGCAGATCATTTGTAGAGGACGTTTCCGCGAAGTCAATACAAAATGTTTTATTGTTTAAAATGGCTCCTGGTGCATTGCTACTCTGGTCAGTCACAGTTCGGCACAAAAAAATATTTTAATGAGTTTTCACAACGAATGACATTGTTTTATATGACAGTTGACAAAATTGATGAATGCGCCTTTCTTCGGTCAACTGCGTTGTCTGTTATTTTTTTTTTGCCACACTCCCTTCATAAGAATTGTCACTAAATGACAACAGCACCAGGCTAAGCTGATCTTACTCGCGTTTTACTGCGAGAGAACTCACAATAAAATTATAAATTTCATACGATGGCTTATCAAGACGTTTTACGACGATGACTTAACATACCAAGATATTCATTCCTTATTATTTTAAGTCGGTCTTTTTTTATGCTAACAACTACACTGTCAAATTGGCACCCCTTTACATCTAGCACTATACCTTCCATGATATCTATTAACATGACATTTTATAAAAGAAAGTGATATCTTTTTAAATTCTCATGGCAGACTCCTGGAAGTACTACTTCAGAAAATATACCAATTCTCCTCTTCATCGCTTCAGGTCTTGGCGAGAGATTCATAATGCATTAAAGACAGCTTTATAACTCTGCATTTCACAAAAAATATTTTCTAAAGTAAAAATGACTATATTGTACTTATAAGAATTTATGCCAGATTAAATTTCTACCCAGGGAAGTGACCACAGGTTTATGATTCACGTTTTAACTGATGTTTTCTACATCATTCTTTTTCGTCTACTTAAACGTGAGATGTTTGACGATTTTTAATAGTATTTTTATCATATTCTTAAACGTCTCTACATATTCGAATAAAGTTATTGGACCCTACACCATTCACCTACAAAAAACTGCGTGTTCGTAAAAGGATGTCGTCCCTTTTTAATATGTTGATTCGAAAGATTAGATTTTCTTAAATCGAAAAATTTTCAGTGCTTTATTGCTTGACGTGAACATTGTATCTATGATTGGGTGCAATTTTAAGTATCTAGCTTTGTCAAATGAATATCAAATATGATTCATCAAATAAATCTGACTGTAAATCTAATAAACCACTACGCTTTTTTATAAGTTGTAAACTTATTTTAAAATGACTTTGAGAATATCGGATATAACGACGGTTTTCCCTGCCAGGGGAAAGGTGACGCAGGTTGGAATACTGCCGAAGAAAAATATGTACGCTCCGGCAGGATTCGAATCTGCGACCCCCACCCGATGCAAGGGAAATCATAGTTAAATCCGACGTGCTTATATCGACTCAGCCACAAATGTCATTTGCCGATTATTTGCCGATGGACATTTGCAGGTTCAAATTATTTTTCTTTAATAAGATTTTTCGAATATTCAGTTTGATAGACGAAAAATGAATAAATATACCGTTTAATAAATAAACGGAGCGTCTACGCAAATATGAATATCCACTTAAAAGAACAATTAAAGTGATAAAATCTGTCGGATTAATAAATGAAAAGTTTATTCCTTTTTTAGAAATATGACTATTGATACCATTTTGTGCATGTAACCAGTCCGCCAGCGTGAATGGTTTTCTAGTTAAAGCTCTTAAATAATGAAGAAAATTTGGCTGATTGATTCACAAAATGAATTTTCTACAAATGATCAACCTGCATATTTCTATCTTTAAAATTTGATGGATGGAGGTGTTTCTTTTGAACAGAAAAATCAACTCTGAATTCTTTATTCGATTTGCATAAATGTGTACATTTCCAAATGTATCTCAACAGCTTTATAACAAATTGATTGCTGTTTCCGTGTCTGACGCGCTTATTTATTTGTCTTCTGTTATCGTTGGTTTTGAGGTTTTCATGGATCGTTGTTTTAGAACTGGCACTTGTTGCACTTCATTACACAGCATTGAGATGTTTGAGTTGATGCCGGAAAACACGCCACCATTTTGATGAAGTAGTTTCCGTTACATGTGCCTCGCATGCGTTTACAGATAATTATTCGAGTTAAGGATATGCTTTGTATTAACAAAAGTGTTGGAACGTCCATAAGCATCGATCCAAAAGAACAATTTCATGCTAATAGATTAGATTATTCAAGTGGGAAATGTAATTGTTATAAATCACAGCAGTGACAATCAACTCATGTCATCAAAATCAGCAAGGAAGTGATATCGTAGTCACCAGTAAGCGCACCGAATGAACTTTGTTTGAAAGTTTGTTCCTACACTATTATTTCTGGGATAATTCATATTTTTATATATATATATATATATATATATATATATATATATATATATATATATATATATATATATATAACTTGAAAATTTAACCCTTGCATATTCCTTCATAAATTTCTATTTATTTAAATTTCTCTTTCCGTTATTGTCTTCCCGGGCGCATTTCCGATTTTTTTTTCTTATTTGTGACTGTCCTTCCTGTCTTCCTTCCTTTCTCCTTCTTTTTTTTTTCATTTTCTCTAATTCTCGTATTCTTTTTTCCAAATTCATTTTTAATTACAAAGGCTTTTGTATATATTTTCTCCTTCCCAGCCTTATCTTATCATCTCTCGCTCCTTTCATGTTTTTCTTTCTCTTCTTCACTGACTCATTTCAATTTTTTTCTTTTAGTTTCTGTCACCTTCCTCTTTTTTCCTCTTCTGCTTTCTCTCTTTGTTTTTCTTCTTGGCTTTCCTTCTCAACCAAGATAAATAAAATAAAGACAATTATTTTTTTTTTAAATGACACACACATGACTTAAAATGTACCCAAAAGTGCTCTAATTTGTTTTTTCTCGACAAACAAATCTGGGTGATAAAAATGACGTCACATTCGTGCAGTCATGCGGAATGACGAAATGCGAGTGGACATCACGACTATGAAAAGGAGGCGGGCCTCGCTGTTAAAGAGGTTTAGATTATTTAAGATTATTGAGTATGGACAATAAAAAAAAGCAATAGGGAAATAGAATAGACTTTAAGTAAAATGTATCTCGGTGCAGATCAGAAGGTTTGGGTCTCATCTGGAAGAGTGTGGCACGTGCTAGGGTTATCCAGTGCAAATTTAGTTACATTTGCTAACGGGTTCAGAGGCAGATGGTTGAGGGTTTTTTTTTAACCATGCTTAAGATAAACGTGGAGAGAATTTCAGTTTTTAACTTTGCTTTACTCTTTCTCTTTTTCTCTCATAAATCGATCAGATTCTAGTTAATTTGGTTTGGACATCCATTTATTTGAACCAAAGCTAAAAAAATAATATTTGCAATGATTTTTTCTTTTGAGTCACCAAGAAGAAAGCAAAATAACTTTTGGCTGGTCATTACTTATTCACTTCAACGTTTAGTCAGTATCAGTAGCTAGGTAGTGTGTACTGTGTATCCGTTGTGCAGGACTTTAGACTAGAGGTACAATAATGTCATCAGTATACAAAATTCCAAACTCTTAAAATTACGTAAATAATCGCTTCCTGAGAAAATTACTACACCAGAGCAAATAAAAATATTATCTTTTTAATCTACAAGGTAACCATAAAGTCATTAGACAAATAGAAAAATTTATTAAAATTACAACGGAATTTTTCAGATGATATCTGGCCGGATCGTACAACATCGGGAATATAGCAATAAAGATGAGGACAACAGTCCGAACAATGTAAATAGTAAGAAATGGACAAGGTCCGACAATTTATTTATTAAAGACATATTTTTATGTTTAACGTTGTTATTTTATAGATACAAGTATTTAAGCAAATGCTCTGTTTATGATAAACAGTATTAAATAACATTTACCGGCCTGAATGTCCGAGAAATTTTCATAGAAAATTTTCGTTCTTTGACAGGATTCGAACCTGCATCCTATACGGAACCGTCATATACGCTGACGTGCCTTTACCGCTTGAGCTACAAAGAACCAATCGGTAGACAAGGTCGAATTTACTGCTTATAAACTCCAACTTTCCATGAATCTCGTACATTCATAACTACTTAAATACTTGTATCTATAAAATAACAACGTTAAACATAAAAATATGTCTTTAATAAATAAATGTAAATAATTACAATACGAAAGAATATCATTAAAATGACTTTAGTAATAACATATTGCTATGAAACAAAAATTTAATTGCCACCTCTTCTACGTTTTTCGTAATGATTTTTTAAAACTGCCTAAAGACTTTGTGGACACCCTGTATAAAAATGTTTTTCAGTAAAGATAGTGAAGTGGTCACCTATTGTCTTCTACGCTGTTTTTGAATTCAGTTCTTTCCTTAGCAGTAAGATTTTGATTGGTTGGTTAATTTTAGTTAGCGTCATATCAACATCTCTATGGATGCCCAAATCTAAATATTTTGTACACAATTTTATGCTTTCAGAGTAAAAGTATGCTTTTAGATATATAATTTGATCATAAAATGTATTGTTGATAATTTTTCTATAAAAATGTATTTTTATATTTTTTTTAGTGTTGGATTGATTGTCATTTTGCTATAGAAATATAAAAATGTATTGTTCGCCATTTTATAAAAATGTACTGACTTTCGTTTGGGGGGGGGTCCACTATTTGCCCATAACTAGGACCCTAACAGGTGCTACTACCACGGGTCAGAGTGGAGCTGGAAACAACAACAGTTAAGCGTCGATTGCACGCTACTCATATTTTTCCACGCTTTTATTTTTATCAGCGACTTTCATGTTTTTCCTCGGCGACCTTCTCTATTTTTTCTTGTGAATTCTCATTATTGTCGTTTATATGTCCACTTCCGTTCTTTCTCTCGTTCTTTTTATTTTCCCTCTCTCTCTCTCTCTCTCTCTCTCTCTCTCTCTCTCTCTCTCTCTCTCTCTCTCTCTCTCTCTCTTGGTTCATTCCTTCTCTAATCTCTCTCTTGGTCCTTTCTTTCCCTCCTCTCTCTCTCACTCTCATTCTCTCATTCTCTCTCTCTCTCTATCTCTCTCTCTCTCTCTCTCTCTCTCTCTCTCTCTCTCTCTCTCTCTCTCTCTCTCTCTTGGTCCGTTCTTTATCTCCTCGCACTCTCTTGGTCTGTTTTTTCTCTCCTCTCTCTCTTTTGGTCAGTTCTTTCTCTCCCTTGGTCTGTTCTTTCTCTTCTCTTCTCTCGGTCCATTCTTTCTTTCCTCCCCTCTCTCTCTCTCTCTCTCTCTCTCTCTCTCTCTCTCTCTGTTCGTTCTTTCTCTCTTCTTTCTCTTAATCTGTTCTTTCTCTCTTCTCTCACTTGGTCTGTTCTTTCTCTCCTATATTTCGTTCTCTCTCTCACACACACACACACACACACACACACTCTCTCTCTCTCTTGGTCCGCGTTTTCTCTCCTCTCTCTCTCTGTTCGTTCTTTCTCTCCTCTCTCTCTCGCTCCGTTCTTTCTCTCTCCTCTATCTCTCTGTCTGTCTGTCTGTCTGTCTGTCTGTCTGTCTCTCTCTCTCTCTCTCTCTCTCTCGGTCCGTCCTTTCTCACTCCTTCTTCTACATTATTTTTTTCTGTTTCACAATTACTATTCACCTTTATCATTTCGTTCTTACGCTTTCTCTCTTTCTCTCTGTCTCTCTTTTCGTTCATTTCATTCACGAATTCTAAAAGCTGATAAAACTTTAGCTTTTGTTGTCTTTTCTGTTTTTAAAGAAATCATCCTTTTTCAAAGTTTTTTAAATACTTTCTCATGTTGGCTGATTAATTTATACAGGAAAGTTTAGTTTTCAAAACAAGTCAGAATTTCGAGCCGGCGCATTTAAGAATTAAAAATATGAATACGAATATTAAAAAAAAAAGGCAATGTTTACGTTTTGTATGATGTGAGGATGTGGGTGCAAACCGAATATTTCACGTGAAACAACAGATAGGTTTCGACTTTGGTCAACGATTGAAGCCGCGGGCGGTCATTTTTTCACGTGAAATGTCCACTCACTCCACATTCCCCCAAAAACGCATATATATTTATTATGCGTTTGATTGACGGTTTACACATTTTAACGTAAACTGTACTCGATGACCTGGTGTACAGAATAGCACATCGGTCAAAAATATATAAGCAGGTAAAATGAACTCGATGAAAACCTTGTCTATTAAAGCAAATTGAGAAAATGTTTCGTTAATCAATTTTTATTAACAAACCAGACATGTAGTTGAGTCAATATTTCGATACTTTGAAATTTTATAAATGTTACTACTACTTATCAAAACATATATGCAAACCTAAAAAAAAATCTGGTTGAATACAAGAACATTTGCCTACGATGAGTAAAAGGATATTTCGATAATTTTAGTCGACATTTTATTTTCCATAATCGCTAATTAAAATAAATATAACATGAATTTATAATTTGAAATTTTTTAAAGAATATTTTGTAACTTAATTTATTTTTTAATCCTGATTTTAATATCGGATTTGTCTTGCTAAAAAATGATGTAAATAATTTGTAGAATTTCTTATTTTGAAATTAGTGTTCATTTATCACCCACGAAATCATTAAAAAAATCAGCATACCGAAATGAAACATATTCCGAACGCAATGAAAACAGTTTTAGCGTCAAAATCTTTGTTATTATTAAGAGGAAGGATCAAAGCATTTTTTAATATTTAATTGAATTTTTTACTCCTCATCTGAACATCTGAAATTTTGATTAAAAACTTGCGTCAGCGGTTGTACTAATTTTTAGTATATCAAATTTTAGCCTTTTTTGTGATGACACATTAATTTTGAAATTTTTGCAAAAATCAAATAATTGTCCGATTTTAATGAAATTTTCAGGACTTATTCACAAATGAAGTAAGTTATTGTTAATTTTTTTTATTAGGAAGTCTTGATAATTTTTTTACATACGTTTCAGACCCTTAGTTAATTTTATGAAATCTTGAGAAATTCAACGTGCTAATTTTTTATCATTATAGACAATGATAAAAAAAAAATAGTACGTTGAATTTCTAGTAAGCAAAAATATGATTTAAATTGTAATAGGATTTAAATATTAAATGGCCTTTTCGTTTCATCAGAGAACTATTTCTTTTATGGGCAATAATTATAAGGAATGAAATGAAAACTAGACACTAGCAAAATCGGGGCTAAAAACATTAAAAACGTATTTAAAGCAACTTAAATGTCTCCTTTGCAATTTTTTTGTTTTATTTGAAAGATAATAGCCTAATGCTAATCTATAAAAAATAATTTTACGTATTTAAATAATTTAATACATTTTTTTTTCGAAATTCATCATCAATCTTACATTTTAATAGAAAAGTGATGAGAGAAATCAAATAGTTATCATAGACTTGTCTCAAAAAAAATTAGTTAATTTGAAGATCAATGAACTGGATCTTGGAAAATATTACACTTTGCTTAAAATATAGTGAAAAATTAATTTGTTTACGACTACTGTTTTTAAACAGTCGCCAATGGTCAAACAGGTGTCTACTCGCGCAATCTACGACTTTTAAACAACCAGCCTCGAATTGAATACGGATAACCAAAATACAGAAACTAGTTTCAGTTATGTTTAAAAATAATTGTTTTTAACCTTTTAACCAATAAATGAGGAATATATTTTCATCCTATAGACTTTTATGAAAAAAAGAATAATTTTATATTAATAAAATGTTTTTAAATGATTAAAAAAAATAATGTAATATTGCATTTATTTTTTATATTTGTCCATATCTGACGTCATAGAATATTTAATTGCACAAAATTATGTCTTTTTTAATTATTTAAGAAAATTTATTAAAGAAAAGCAAATGCTACTGAGAAAAAAATGGGGAAAATTGATAAAGACTTAATGAATTGATACTGTTAATTAATTGCCTTTATTTGCTTTCTTTCAGCTAGCAATGTCATAAAAAAATTCAGCCACCTCCAAAAGTCATGGATACTTTCTTAAAAACAATGAAAAGTCTACCCTCTGATTTTAAATTATAGATAATCGAGGAATAGTCAAATTTCAATGAAATTTTCAGCAATTATTCATTTATTAGAAAACTTAAAGGAAATACTTTTCAAGACAGTTGCAACTTAATTTGAATAATCCCCTGATATCAAGGGAAAGAATTCAGAACTTTTCTTATTTGATCTTCCATGCAAAAAAAAATCTAACTTCGGTGAAAATAATAAATACAATTAAATTCTTTTAAAATTATTTTTTTTTGATTTTTCAAACATTTATTTAATAAAAAGGACTTCTTTTTTTTCACCAGCAATCGGAAGAATTTCAAAATCACACAGAAAAGTTACAAGTAAATTTTTTAAAAATAAATATTCATTGTAGATTTTTTCCAAGTTAAATCAGAAAGAAAAAGTTGTTTTATTAAATTATTCAAGAACCAACTTTCCATAAAATATATACTTTTTGATTTTTATTGAATTATTTTTGTAAGGTTTCAACACAAATTTTGTGACAGACCAAAAAAAAAAGTATCTCCAGAAAGTAATAAAATAACCTATTTAGTATACAATACATTCTTTAAATCCGACTAAAAATAGTAAGAAATCCGCCGTGATTTTCCTGACATAAGTTTTCGGGAAAAATGGTAAAAGTAGACGTTCGATGACCTTCGTCACGTCAACCACAATCTGGAAATAGCTGTCAAATTCGGATGCCCAGACAAGTCTAATTTAGGTAGCCCCGTGAAAGAATGACAGCCAAAATTCTGGATTATGTCAATTGTTCTTCCTTTCTTCCTGTCATTAACGATATTCAACAAGTGTTGCTTGATAGGCATCCACTCGTTATGCACAATGTTTTTGTTTTGTTTTTGTTTTTTTGTGGTTATATACTCAAATAACAGTAACTGAGGTCCATATCGAATAGCGGAAAGCAAAACACGCCCAACATTCTTAAATTTCGATTTTTTTTTGAGGGATTTATTTTTTACAATTATGTTCACCCTGTACAAGGCCCGGGAGCTACTCGAGGTGGAGAGTTACAGAATAAGAAGCACAGTTTATGGGGATATGTGTGGACGATAACGGTTGACCGTAGACTTGAACGGGTTAAGACTGTAATGATCGTTGAAGCATCTTCTTAGGATTCGGTTCTACAAAGCAGAGGTTCTTGGGAAGAAGCTACTCCAATGGAACTTACATCTCAATAATGGAATACGAAGGATGGTTCGTTAGAATGCAGTTCGTCTGAACACTTTGCATAAAAATAGCGTTAGAACAGCAACATTTCGTTTGTAGGGTGGAAAATAATTTGTCCCCTAGAAGGACGCGAAGATAGTCGAGACTTCTTATATTTGGCAGCAGTAATCCATTTTGGTTTCATCTGGCTCTTGTAAAAGTATTGAATAACAATAGGAGTCAGGTACTATGTCAAGAAGGGGAAAAACTTTTCCTATTCGCTAGTAAATGTACATTCAAACAGTCAATTGGAAACCAGCGTTTTAGTATTGTACACATGAACTAATCAGTCGGAGAAAAAAAAATTTGAACCCCAAAACGCGACTGACAGAAACTATTTACCTTAACGGCACAATTAACAGGCGATTGGGAGAATATTTTTTTTCGATTATAAAAGTATCGGACTCGAAACAAATCCTAAATCAATTGTGCCCTTGTTTGAGTCACCTCAAACCGTTTGCTTGGTCGATCCTGTTAACTTATGTAGTGAGTTTTATCCACCCACTCCCCGCCCGCAAAAAGTAACAAAAGAATCCTGTTTAGTGGAAAGTCTCAAAGATTGTTTTATCAGAAAGAAATTCCTAAAACCAATGCTGACAACTAACAACGAACCACCAAATAGACGAATGGATACTTTCTCAACCCCAAGCCATTTTCCAAACTCTGACCAAGCATTAGATTTGTTTTGAAAAAGCTTTCTTGGTCAGATCAAGCTTTTCTCCACTTCCTCTTATCTTCTATATGTCGTATCTCTTCAGGACGGTGAGTAATCCTGGCTCTTCACAACTTCCTGTCCTTTGTAGCTCTTTAGGTTTATCTTTTTACTATCTCTCCTAATCCCTATTCTGCCAAACATTTACACAAGCTTGTTAGGTAACTACATTCTGTTTCCCTGTGTCCATATTGCCTTATATATGTCCTGTGAATGTCAGATTCTCGAAGCCCTCAATCCTCATTATATGCCCTAGAACTGTCGACTCTCTTTCTGATTCTTAGTATAAATGTCCTTTTTATTTCTATTTCCCTTAAAGATTCGTCGTTACTCGCATGTTTAATCCATGGCATCCAGCATCCTTCTGTAGAACCACATTTCTGTTGGCTCAAATCTCTTTTTCCTCTGTAAGAAGATTGTCCAGCATTCTCTACCATATAGGAGAACTCATATTACATAACAGTTCAAAACTTTTCTTTGTTTCTGACAAATTTTATCTGCTTCTTAATACTTTGCTTAGGCTTTGGAAAGCTTCTTTCTTCCGATGCGGCTTCGGATTTCAGTGCCACATTTTCCGATCGTTTGTTAAAACACTGCCTATATATTTAATTTTTCCCATTTGCTTGATGTTGGTGTCTCCAATTTGTAGTTCAGATCTTAGACTGTACCTTTTTCTGACAACCATATATTCTGTTTATTTTTTTACTACATTTTCTAAGAGTCACTATATTTTCCTTTCTGTGTTGTCTATGAAC